TATATATATATATATATATATATATATATATATATATATATTTTTTTTTATATATATATATTTTTTTTTAGTTCCCTTTTTATATATTTGTACAGAATGTATTGACTCCAAAGTGAAAGTTAAATCCTTGTTAGTGTGTGGATCCAATTCCAGACGTTCATCTGATGGAGCTGCGGCTTCACGTGGAACCTGAATACTTTATAATCCTTGTGCGTTGCTCAGAAAAGGAGCATTTATTTTTAAGTAACTTTGCAATTGTTCTCTCTTCATTTCATCCTTCATCAGCTGAAGAGAGGTGAAACATTTTCAGACCTCACACATTCCCTAACTCTGACTCTGTCACATCCAGAACTCCGATACTAGAAGCGCCCACGCATCCACATGCTTCCATCGCTGGTTAATTACGGGTGCTGGCGAAGAAACGGCAGCCATACATAGTCAATGAGAGCAGGCGAACAATGGACGCACAGAGAGGATGATTGCTGTAAATAAAAGGCTGGAAGTGGAGCGAGGGAGGAGAGGAGGAGGAGACCATGCCTGTTGGCACATGGAGGGATGAAAATAACCAGGACAGAGAAGAAAAAGGAAAACTTTTTTTTTTCCACAGTGGAAGAGCGTTCACTTGGAATAAAGCCTCTGATTTTTTTTTAAATAGCTCTGTCTTTACCAACAGTTGTTTAGAAGTAAAAACATCTAATACAGTTAAATTGAAAAAAAAAGTCAGTAAAACTTAAGAAATTAATTTAGAAGGTTAAAGAAGTTGAAAATATTTACTATTACAATCATGTCCAAATGACCCAGGTGGTATAAATGACTGCTGCATTTACTGTTATTCAAAAGTATTGAATTTTTTTCATGTTTCAACCACAAACTTAAGATGCAGTATTATGTAAAATCGACTTTTTGAGATTTACATTATATTATAAATGTACTCCCTCTTCAAAAACATACCTGCAGCGTTGCTTTGATTCTTTCATACATGTTTGAGAAATCCTTCAGTCTGCATGGCCACCATTCAGCTGTGCAAAACGGCTGCTCTCTCCTCGGAGCTGCAGCTTCTGAGCTTTGGCCTCACAGAGCAGCCTCCACCTCCCCAGCTCCTTCAGACTAGCCAGCAGCAATTAGCAAACACTTTGTGGAACTGCACACCCACCAAGCTCATCTCACAAGCTACTTTTTCAGTCTGACACTAACAAAAATGCTTAATGGTGTCATGATTGAGGGTAGACTTCTGACCCACATGCAGAATCAGACCCGGAAACAACTGGTGTTACTATTTTTATTAAAAAAAAGAAACAATCTAAAGGTACTGCAGGTGATCCGAGGATATAGGTCTGAGTCACGCCTGGAAGCGGAGAGAACAGGTTAATGGTCTGGCCAGAGGAGGGCAAAGTACGATGGGGAACCGAGTTTCAGCTTACGTCTTCTTGGAAGGCTTCCGACGGGGGAGGATGCGATCGAGCAGTGGACTGGAGCGGGCAGGCAGGTGAGGCTCTGAAAGCTGCAGGCAGATTCACCGGTGGAAGTTGGCCAGATCCTGAAAGTGAATGAACAGAGGGCTAGTGAGGGGGTTGACTACAGGCAGAAATCCTTTCGAGAGAATCACAAAAAACTAGCGTTTCAGAAGAAGGCTTTAACGAGCTAGAGACTACCGTGGAGGGATAATCATCCGGCGGAGAGGAGAGGTCCGATGGCTCCTTAAATCCTCTCGACTGATGATCTAACTAGCTTCAGGCGTGCAGCTCCACTCCAGGCCACTCCCCAACGGGAAGCCGAAGGGGAGAGACCTTTCTTAAAGAAAAGCCCAGAACCTGACAAATGAAGGAATATTAATGTGACGACTTCCTGAAGGCAGAGTGTCTGAAAAAGCAGGAGCCATTTGCTAGACCTAGGTGTAGCTAAAACAAACAGAATGGCCTATTCAAAGTCAAGATCTAAATCAAATCCAGAATATGTGGAAAAACTTGTATATTCATATATATGTACTCGTTTATCTTTTTTTTTTATTTTGCAAAGGTGAACAAGCAAAAATATTTCTGAATATAAGTTGTAATATCCGCAATAGGACATCACAGAAAAATGTCAAATACATGTCTCTGGCAACTTTTTTGTTTTTATTTGTAAAGAAAAAATATAGCAGAGCATGTATTAGTTTTGTTCATACACATACAATAAAATCTAGTTTTGTGTTGCAACATAAACTGTAAAACATTTGCAAAGCACTGAGAATCGGGCCAACCTGCTGATTGTTTTGGTTCTTTTTTAATTGGCACGGTCCCTCTCTGTGACCCAAATGTTTAAATATGTTGGTTTAACAAACTGAGGACAAAGTTCAGCTCGATTCTCTTCAGAGTTCAGTCCAGTTCACTCCATTATTTTAGCTCTAGTTCACAGCAGAGGCCATCTCAGGACACTGGACAGAGAAAACCAAAGTTCAATTCAGATCCCATTAGATACAATCCAGCTAATCCAGTTTAATCCCAGGTCATATAACTGTAGTTATTTCATAGCTAGATTCTAAAAGTTATACATATGGAGAAACAAATGGACAAAGCTGAATCTTTACATTCAAACCTTAGTTTCACACTAGCAGCATCGAAGAGGAAGAGTGTCTGTATAATTGTGAAGTTATGTCTCTAAACTGCATAGTTCTGTATACGGCGGTATTATGTAAAAAAAAAAAATCTATATTTTTTTTAGCTTTACATTATGTTATAATGTTATTCCGTTATCAAAAACATACCTGGAGTGTTGCTTTGATTCTGTCATGCATGTTTGAGAACTTCTTTAATCTCCCATGGCAACCATTCAGCTGTGCAAAACACCTGGTTTGACCAAGCCCCGCCTTCTTGGACTGAGCTCCTCCTCTGAGCTGCAGTTTCATAACTTCACATCTAGTACCTCACAGAGCAGTTCTCCTCCACAACTCGTCCACTCAGCTCCTTCAGACTAGCCAGCAGCGATTAGCAGATATCTAGTGAAAGTGAAAGAACAGGAGGTTTTAAAGAGACAGATGTCCAATATCAATGCGTTAAGTTACAAAGTCAAATTTCTTTTAAGTCATGTTTTATATATACAGCATTTTTATAACAACTAAAGGTAACATAGTTACTTGGTTGTGTTTTAAAATGGCACTATATGGCTGGAAAATATGCAATATTGCCCTTGTAATAGTTCCTTTACCAAATAGTATTAAACACAAATGGAACGTTTTGCCTTTGAACAAACTAAAGATATGGAAATATCATTTGTGTCACATTATTCTGGTGCAGCAAAACTTTTCTCTAATAATCGTATGGTTTTGTGTTGTATTTTATCTCATTTCCACTTTTAAGGCCATGTCTTTGATTACTGATGGCCAACAATATTCTGTGTTCGGCCTGCCACTACAGCAATGCCCCTCTCTTGAAACTTGTGTTTCAGGATGTTTGGAACAGAACCTGGTCATTTATTCCCACAAGGTCCAATATGTCATAAAACAAAGCAAAGGGCCGTTATTATGTACCACAATTTACTGAATATTTCTTTGCCACTTCATTCAGAATTCCCACATCGTAGTTTGCCTCGATGTAATACTGCACAGACTCTTGCTTTGCCTTCGTTCGACTGCCCCTTTCCCCTCCATGCGCACGGTGCCAAAAATACAGACATATTTGTGGGACTTTCCCTGATAAATGATCAGTGTTGGATCTGTATTTCAGCACATTTTTGAGAACACTCATGACTATTGTGATAGAAAGAAACAAAAAAAATGTAAAAGTTGTACATTCATTGAACAACAAACAAAAAAAAACTGCTTCCTTGGTGTTTGGAGAGATTATCTGACGTCCGTTTCAGATAGTGAAATAATGACATGAACTGGCTCCCACAGGTCCTGATATGTTTTGTTCTTCTGTTGTCAAAAATATTCACACAGACAAAGTATTTATTTTCTTGTTTAGTGAATCTGTACTAGGATAGCACAATATTAGAATAGAATATATTTATGAACAGTATAATGTGGAACTTATGATGAATCACTGGTTTCCTGCCTTTTTCCTCCTTATAAACCAATATTAATTAAAATAACTGCTTATAACTTTAATTTCTTGGAAAGCGTAATAAATTGTGAGTTAATACACCTAACTACTGAACATTTTGACTTCATCACTTGTAGCTTTGAAATCGTTTAAGTTGGACTACAAAGTCTTTATCAGAAATAAAAATGGCGGATTTGCAAAACTGGCTAGCAGGAAGTCCATGATCTTCGCAGTTCCTGTAACCTTATTGTTCAGTTTTCTCTCTACTCTCTTTATAGAGAGTAGAGAGAAAACTGAACGGTTTCAAACTATGACCCAAACCGCACCAAGAGAGGCTGAATTCAACTTTTCTGCACTACTGGAGGATCCAACTAATCAGCTAAATGTATTTAAGGGCTAAAAAAGTGTTTTGCATGATTTGTCCCTTTTTAAGAAAATAAAGTCAGGAAAAAACTCTATCAAAATTGGATTTGATATGAAAAAATCAGAGATTTTGTTTTCAAGTCACATTCCCAGAACTTTCTACTGTTTCTGTGACATTTAGCACCTAGCTAGTGTTGTTTCATCTGTCAGGTGGGAATATGATCATATGGAGTAGGTGCTCAACGATCCTACAAAAGTCAAAAGGGTAACATCAGCAGCCTGACGTAGGAGAGTTTTTTGTCATAAACGGAAGAAGCATCAGGACTGATGAGGAGATGGATGGAGCTAAATATAGGACAATCCTGTTAGAGGCTGAAAAAACCCTGAGACTGGGGCAGGCATCCACCTTAGTGACATCTACCACAGGTAAAGAGCTTCCAGCTCATAACCTCACATAAAACTCACATAATAGTTTATGTAGAATAAAGGCAACCTGCAGAACCGTCTGCCTCTAATTCAGAAAATTCATCATGATGATGCTTATTTTTTCTCAAGTAGGTTTATTTTGAAACCTTGACGTTGCGAGCACTCTAGTTAATGAGTTTCATCTCAACGAAACCTATCAAGTACTTTCAGTCACCTTGGCTACGTGAAGCACCTAGCGCTCAATCCCCAAACAGTCATTAAGTCCTTCCAGCTAAAAAGGGTTTGGCTCAGGAATTAGTAATCGTTTTACCCTGTCCTGGCCTTCTAAGTCTTGACATCTACGCCCCGGGAGTGTCAAGTCTTAAACCACTGATATCGCTAGCCAGTGAATGCAGAGCTACACTCTATATTATTGACAGGCCTTGTTATCCTCCGGTGCTACTTGGCCTTTTAGCATTATAAGCCACCTAATGCGGTGGTTTGAACATCGGAGCATTATCAGATCGTTTCTGGAACAGCAAAAGCGGCTTCTTTCACAACTTTTGTATCTTAGCTTGATCAAAGGGAAGTTTGTTTTTCTTCTTCTTTTGATCATATTTCATAAGGCCAGAGAAACTGTTGCTCTTTAAGTGCTGTCGGCATCAAATGAAGCTCAGCAAAATGACGGCAAGATGAAAGATTGGATAGAACGTTAAAGAGATTTCACACAACATAGCGAATAGATGATGAGTTGGACCCCAGCAAAAGATGATTGGGAAGGTAAGAAGAGTTGGATGAAGGAGAATCACTTATCTTTGATAGCTCCACACTTGGCCTAATAGACTTGGATCTCATCCACGGCATGCCAATACAAGGTGTGTGTGCTCATCTGTTCACCTTGCTGTATTTAGTGCAGATGTACTTTGCTTTTAATAGACTGTGAAGCCAAACTCGGTGTGGAATGTTTTCATATTTGAGACTGAATTCAAAAACAAATCCCAGCTCATAAAATGTGTCTTATGATTTTTTTTTTATTCAGTCTTCTCAGATCATGGTATTGTTTGATGTCAGATTTTCTTTTTGTTTTTATTCTTTGATTATTTTATGTTAGCTTCAGATATATATAAAAGAAGATTGAGTGAAGCAAACTGGCTTTAATTATAACGTTCCTCTCTAGTTTCATTTTCAGTTTAGGCATTAGAAGCAGGTTTACCTGCCTGATTGTAGTTCATTTGGGGATTTGTGTATCTTGAAGTACGACACAAAGACAAAACAACTATTATATTGTTTCATACTCTGATGCCATCTGCTGTCTCATAAGTGAAAGTGGGCGCCAGCAACTCAGCTTTATTTTCACTTTTCCGTCCTGCAGCTACAGAACGTTTGTTTCAGTCATGACAGAAACTAAGCTGATGGAAATGTGGAAAAATCTATGGGGCAATAAAAAGTTGCTGTTTTTTCTTTTGTTTTGAGAGTTTTCTGTCTCTAAAATAGTGCACCCACTATTCAAAAAAGAGCAGCAAAATACTACTTATCGTTCAATGGTGATACAAAAATATTGTGTATATACTGTATGTAAGACTGGGCAATTTCTACACTTTAACATTCACTTTCTGTTTCTTACATTTCTTTAGAGAGATATTTGGCACGCCAGGGGAAAACCAGGAACAAGTTTCTGGAACAAAAAATTAAAACCTTGATTTTCTGCCAAAGTTTATTTTCACGTTTATTCAAAAAGTAAATATCACAAAGAAAACCCACATTCTTGAAATGGCATTTTTGGAGTTTTTACATTGTATTTTTTTTTTTTTTTTTTGACAAATGGCCAAATCTTTTTCATTTAGTTATTATTATTATTATTATTATTATTATTATTATTATTATTATTATTTCTGTATGTTTTGGATTAAAAAAATGTTAGTAACTGACTTTGCACATTGGATCACATTCCAACTACACACTTCAAAGAAACTTTTTTTCTTTCAGTAGTACGAACACTTTTGTGAAGAAAAATAAATAGAAATCAAGTCACATTTACCCTCCTCTTCACCACTGTGTTGGTCTTCTGCATAAAAACACATTGAAATAAGATAGTTTGTTAAAGGGTTA